AGGGAATTAGTACATAAATGGTGAGCTTGAAAGAGCTTGGATAACTGAAGAAAGCATTAGGAGCTTCTGAGATCTAACCAAAATGTAGTTTTGATCAATGTAGGATGATCAATACTAGCACTTGATGTGTTTTTATCCTAGAATCCTGTTACCAAACCACTGTTTAACTGTTGAATTCGTGTATTGAAATAGCTGCTGAAAGCACAGAGGAAGGCTCAGCGCAGAGAGAGTCTATTGAAGCTTGAAGCAGAGAAGAAAAAACTGCGTACAATACTTCAAGTCCAATATGTGCTGCAGAACTTCACTCAAGAGCATGTTCAGAAAGATTTCAAAAGTGGTGTGAATGGTGCAATATATTTGCCTTCTAAAGAACTAGACTACCTCATAAGATTTGCAAAACTGACATGTCCTGAAAGAAACGAGAACTTGAGGTAAGTTCAAGGTTTTTTGTCTAATTGCTGTGCTTTAATCATTACAGTAAATGTCTTCTGTTTGACACTGTCATCTCTTGAAATACTATGTTTTGGGACACAAATTCTACTCAGTACATTAGCTTTAGTCTAAGACTAGGAATGTAGCAGACTTACCTCACTGAGCATTAAAGGAGAGCTGTAGTAATTACAGCTTCAGCTGTGCAAGTTACATACAAGCCCTGCCATGATGTCTCCCTGTGGGGTTGAGGGGAAATAGTCCATCATAAGCAGGAGGCTGGTGGTGTGCTGCTTCCCTGAGGTCTCACTGTTTCTGAAACAAAAAAAGTGTAGTAAACACAGGGGAACTGTTCAGAGTGATGATCCATATGTGCCTCTTTATTCCAAAGGAATGTAAGATGGTAGTGCTGAGGCTCTCTTGCGATTACTTTCAAAGTAGTTTTAAAAATTTGACTGAAGCTTTTGATACCTCTGCATTACATGCCTTATATTTTAAAGGTAGCAGGTTGCCAACAAGTGTGTAATGTATGTCAGTACTAAGTTGGCATTATGGTTGTACTATGATGCTTATGTTTGGCATGACAGCCTGTCTGTTAAGACAGTGTAGTAAGAATTGTATTTAAATATGGAAAAAGCAGTTGTTGGATGGTAAGTTGAAGCACTAGGGATAAGACTAATTATTTCCATGTTCAAACATGACTTAAGTTCCTAAAACTTGAAATCACTTGTCATATGCTAAACTCGCCTCATCTTTGCTCTTAAATTAACATCTAAAGCACAGCTACTTACAAAAAGCCACACGATAAGTCTCTTATTCCAGTGAAATACCTTTTTTTCTAGCCTATAATTGTCATTGTATTACACTTTCACAAGAAGCATAACCCTTTCCTTTGGGACATGGAACTTCATCATGGTGCACTTTAAAATCCGTTGTCTGGAGGGGTTGGGGTGGATTATGGGCCTATGTCAAAGTTTCTCAATAACCAGCAGAGTGGCAGGACCTGTTAACAGTGGCTCCTGCACATGTGCATCCAGTAAACAAGGTGATCAGCTGATTAAACAGCAATTGTTTCCTTGTCTGGGAATCCTGCCTTGGAATGAAGTCCAGCCATATGGTCCTATGGGATGGTGCTAGGCTCTTTAATCTGTTTTAATTACCAATGAAATAATTTGTTTTCTAGATTAAATAATGTACAGATACAAATGAATTACTTTCAGAAGTGGATAATGGGCTTAGGATTCACTCTGTGTATACAGCCTTAATTTGGAAGGTTAAACATCGTTGGTATCTTAAAATGAGGGGTGTTGGGATACTACAAGACTTGATTTTGGCTATGATTCTACCTGGTGAAACTGTCACTTCTAGTGTTGAAGACCAGATGGAACAATCATCTCTCTACTTCTGGGACCTTCTAGAAGGAAGTGAGAAACCTGTGGTTGGAACAACATGTGAGTGTCTCATCTAGAGAAATAACTTGGAAATCAGAAATTTGTGTGCTATTTAAACATCTTAAATGAATGTATGTAGAAGACTACTAAATGTAAGCACTTGCAAGTGCTTTGTGTAACTGTTATCCAAGAATGAACTGCTGTTTGTTCTAAGTCCTGTTATTTAAGTACAGATCAATAACAATACAGAATCTTTCCCTGGAAAAAGAAAACATACTTCTACCAATGTACTAGCACCTTTTTGAGGAGTAACAATGGTAACAATTCAAAAAGTGATGCATTAATACCTTACGGAACTGGCAGTGGGAAGCTTTTTGGGTAGTTATGTGCAAATGGGTTAAGATTGGAATGCTGTTCCCAACCACAAAAATATATAGCTGAGTATACTGTTGTGTATTACAAAGCTCCAGTGGCCCCAGGTTGAAGGTCCCACAGCATTGAAGATCCTGTCTTGTAGGAATTGCTGGGCTCATACCCATTGTCTGACTACAGTGCAGAACCCCACACAGAGGAAGGCCAGTCATTAATAGAACTTGCAGTGATCTCTAATCACGCACAGTGCAGTCTTACTTTGACCTGTTACAAATATCCTCATTTTTTTTAAACACACCAAATTCTGTATGACTCTACATATTTTCTTTCATCTATAGCTTAGTGTCAAAAACCCTGGTTGTAAGCCAACACACATGTTCTATGTTCCTATTTAGAGCTTGCTTGTGAGGAAGCTGTCCTTTAGTTGTCTTTCCTATTGCAAACAGACCTTGCTTGTCCCATTTACTCCAATCTTGTAATGACTATGTGGCAGTAATCTTTCATTTGTCATTGGCAATAGTGTTGTTGAAATTGTTAGAGCAGAGCTAACAATTTCAGTGTCTAATTTCCACATAGATAGTTGAACTGGCAACTAAGCGTTAACTGTTTTTATACAGTTCTGGACAAAGTTCAAGATGGCCTTGTATTGCTACAGGCTGGTAACTTTAGCCTTGTATCTGTTGACATAAATTGATAGTTGCCTAGTTATCTTGGTCTCCAGACTTTTCTAGCTTTTTGGTTATCATCTAAACAACTTCTGTGAGTATTTTGTCATTATCTCTATCCTTTAGTGTTAGTCTTGCATTCTCTTGTGTGCAAGCTAAACTTCAGCTAAAGCTGTTATGACTTTAGCATTCATTTGCCTTGGAAGACAATTTTTTTATATCCATATTAGATTCTAGCTACTGTTCTTGTTCATATTGCTGTCACTGGTAGGACTGATCTTTCAATAGTCTTCCTATTCTCAAGGCTGCCCTGTCTGTAGCTCTTCTGAAACAGTTTCTAATATCACTGCTGCTTCTGAGGTTTTACTCTAATCGAAGCAGCTGTCTTATTTTGTGTAAAAGAGGAAACTGGACAGTACTTCTCAGAGTAGCATACAGTTAAGTTTTCTTCAACCATGTCAACTTTGCCTTTATGTCAAAACTTCAGAGGCTTAAGTTCAGTCTGGAACAGTTTCTTGCTTTCTTCCTCTCCTGCTTGTTTCTGCAGTTCTTAACTCGTCCTTCTGAGACTTACCATCCTGCCACTGGGAAGAAGATGTTGTAGGGCAATTCCATAGTGACTTTGTTTAGCTTTACCTATACTACAGTCTGTGCAACATTAATGCTTGCTAGTTTATAGATGGTTAACAAATCCCTTTCTAAATATGTGGGAGACAGGGTAGCTCAGTGTTCACCTTGTGTGTGTTTAAACTCAAGTTTCAGTATTACCTCTAGATTGCAAAGATGTTTTCAGCTGTAACACATAAAGCAGTTTAACAAATACTTTCCTTTACTAAAACATTTTATTCTTATAACTCAGTAAGATGTGTGAACTTGCTATATAAAGGGAGAAAGTAAGCAGTCCTGATCTGTAATCTGAATACTCCTTAATTTCAGGTTTTTATATCTTAACTCTATGGTTTTTACTCTTCAGATAAACACTTGAAGGACCTGTTAACCAAACTTCTAGACTCTGGCTACTTTGAAAGTATTCCAACTCCTCGTGCCACTATGCCAGTGAAAGAATTGGAAGAAGTAAATAGAAAATCTGAGAGAACAAGACAGATGTCAAAAGGAGAATCTATCAAAGAATCAGGTGGAATATTACAGGATTCCATTTCTGCATTGTAATATTGGGATAAGCTTGAACTGAGGATTGACTTTGCATAGCTTGATGCTGAATCTAATCCTATCCTATAGTTTACTTGCAATGTAGTAACTAAAATTAAACCAGAAAGGCTTGCAGCCCTATTATGGCTAATACTGTAGAAAAAAAATAATCTTATTTGTAGTAATAGGATGTTTTTGCCTTCTGAGCCAGTCTCTCTGTCAAAGATGTGAAAAATGTCTGGTGTAAAGATTTTTACATATTACAATAACCAAATTATGGATGCTACAGGATGTTTCTTGCTTAACTTTAAACTTCTGCAAATGTAAAACCAAATTAAAAAATAAAAGCTTGTCTAAAAATTACATGTTGAACGACAAGCTGACCTTGCTAAACCAGAGATTCTGAAGTCCGTACTACTGTTTAAATAGGATTAAACACTTGCTGCTGTTTGGCCTGCATTTCTCCATTTGATCAGTTGAAACAAACTAACATCCTTTCTCTAGAATCCATTATGGAGTTCATGAAGTCTGAAATACAGCCACAGGAGGTAAGATACTACACTGCTAATTGCTTTAATTTAATATTATGGTGTTCCAGAAATATAACTGCACTTCTGCAGCCCATTTTTAAACTTAGAAAGGAAGTCTGAACAGCAACTTTGGTGTTCCTTTATGGAGGAAGCATTAAAGACTTGGCTGCATTTCTATTTTAATCCCAAGTTTATGGCTTTTCTGGGGTATTTTGGGATAAATGGGGTGGGATTACATGTGTAGTACTTTAATGCTCTGGCACTTTCCTGAATAAACCAAGCATCAGCCTTTAGAGTGGAAACATACTGATCTTTTGTGTATTACAAATAGAGAAAATACTCATTACTCAAGCTACTTAAAAAGCATTACTTAAAAAGCTAAGCTTATTGCACTATACTTGGTATTGGTGGGGTTGAGGATGGTATGTAGGTCTTGCTCTGATCTGTCAGAAAAGTAGGGACCCCAAGACAGACTTGTATGCACAGGGGTGTGTAGATGTGTTTAAACAGCCCTACAGACTCCTACGTTAGGTCCTTAATCTTCAACTGGCTGTGGCATGAAAGCCATTAGACTTGGTTCAAAAAGTGAGTAGGGATGTCCTATTCCAAGAGGAAATAGTTCCCTAAAATGCTGAATTTCCCAGGTATCCCGCTAGAGGGTGTATGTTAGAACAAGTTTTTGTAACCTACTGTAACCTCCTTGTAACTAACACTTACCTGACTGAAGATTTTCTGGTGACTTGTCAGAAAAAATCTCAGCCAGTGAGCCTTGTACAGCCTTCACTTCATATATTTACTTCCTGTTTATGACAAAGGAGTACCTCAGGGAAACTTCAGGACTTCTTCATTGAACTCATTTATTAATACTGAACACAGCCTGGAGTTAAAGTCCAGTGGTACTAAGTCTGAGAATCTGGTGACTTCTTAGTATTTAAACTCCATAAGAATGACAGTTATACTTGGTTACTGGAGTTCTAAAGGGTCAGTGATTTTTGGGGGGAGATAGCACTGCTACATGTAGCAGAACATCTACTGATATAGTACTACAGCATTTTAGATGCTTAGGAGGAGAGGTACATCTGTAAAAATCACAACTGAACTCGATGTCACTGCCTGGGAACATCAGTTAGCACAGAGGATAAGGGTACTAGGTTCACTCAGCTCAAGTATGTTTCAGTTGTGCTGTTCAGGACCATTTCATGCTTCTGTGGCATGCCAAGCAAAGGTAGTTTTTAGAATAAGGCCATGGCTGTCCACACTGTTTCTGTGGCTAGTGCTTAAACTGTTTAGGCTCTGCTCTTAGTGAGAAACTTTCAGTAGCTGGGTGGCCTAACTTAACTGACCTGAACTGTAGTAGCAAAATGTTTTCTTGGGAGCCATTAAGTTTCTTTGGTCTATATAGTTTCTCAACAGGCGTTATTTGCCTGAAGCAGAATACTCTCTCAAGAAGAAGCCAGAAGAGCCCAAATCTTGGGAAGCTGAGTGTGCTAGAAAGCAAGAACCTCCGAAGTCCTGGGAAATGCTTGTTAATATTGAAGAACAGAAGCAGAAACAAGAGACCTTAAAGCCTTGGGAAGTTCGTGTAAGGCAGCAAGAATCAAGAAGACCAGATTCTCCAAAGCCTTGGGAAGCTCGTGTTAAAGAGGAAGAAAGGAAGCATGAGTCTACAAAGTCCTGGGAGACCCGTGTTGAGGAGGAAGAACAGAAGCAGCAAGAAGCTCCAAAGCCCTGGGTAGCACGTGTCCGAGAGGAGCGGGAGTCCCCCAAACCTTGGGTAGCAAAGGTTAGGGAAGAGCAGGACCAGAAGAAACAGGAATTGCCTAAGCTATGGGTAGCAAAAGTTAGGGAAGAGCAGGAACAGAAAAAGCAGGAGCCCCTAAAACCTTGGGTAACCAAAGTTAAGGAAGAACCAGAACAAAAGCAGGAATCTCCAAAGCCTTGGGTAACCCAAACTAGGGAGCAACCAGAACAAAAGAAGCCAGAGTCTGTGAAACCATGGGAAACGCCTGTTAGGGAAGAGCCAGAGCAAAAGAAGCAGGAGCCTTTGAAGGCTTGGGCTGCACATGTTAGGGAGGAGCCAAACCAAAAGAAGCAGGAGACTCGAGAGGCTTGGGAGAAAGCTGACAGGCAGCAGCAAGTGCCGTCACAGCAGTTACAGAACCCTCCGAAGTCCTGGGGAGCTGCAAGTGTTGGGCCAAAGGAGCAGATGGGGCCAAAGAAGTTTGATATGGAACCCAAAGAAGTGAGTTGGCATATGTAGTATTACCTATCATAAGCTTTTCACACTAGTGTATTGGACTAAAGCTACCTACTAGCAGAGGCTTTATAAGGTGCATTTTGTAGGTCTATATTTAGACTCTTATTCTTTCTTGGGGGAAATAATTCTGGCAATTAAACTCTCATACATGAATAGTAAGATGGTCTGTGTTGCTTTTTACATGGACACAGTATTGTTGTGTTTGAGCCTTTAATAACTGCTTTATGCATAAGACAGAAGAATTAACTTAGTTCATCTGTAGCTATTGGCTCTGTCCACTGTTACCAGTACAAAGCAGGTATGACTCATCCAGGGATCAAATACTTTGTCTGTGGCTGCATGCAAATAGCACTTCAGTATTTTTTTAGGCTTTTGATTAAAATAGCTGCTGATTCAAGAGAGATCTAACATCTAGATCAAGCAATACCAACTGTACAGAGGCTTAAATATGTATTTCCAGATGAATGCATAAGCCATACTGCTGTCCTGGAGAGTCTAACAACAGCATAGTTTGTCTTAGAAATGTAAAACGAAAGTTATTGCAGGGCTTACAGCTAAGCAGGCTGCTAGCCTCTGGTTACACTACCACCTTTCTCATCTGTGCTTGGTAGTAACAATTCTGATACTGTGAAAACAGTGAGAAGGTAGGAAAAGCAGAGTTATGTCATTAAGAGTAGTGTTTAATTTAGAGTTAGGCTTCAGGAAGAAAATACAGGGAATTGAGCAATTATTTTGTACACAGTGTTGTTAGCACTACTACCTTGTTTTTGCAAGAAAGCAGATATCAATTAATTCTGTATTACTCATAGCAAATGATTAAGCTTAAATCTTGTCAGTAAACTTAGCATAAATGAAAAACTTTTGTGCCTAGAGGCGGGAGCGCAAACAGAAGGTCGAACATGAAATTAAAAAAGTAGGTAACATGCGGCACTGGATAATAAAATGGGATTAAGGTCTCTCAACTTGATTCATCTTTACACTTAAGCGAGTAGAAACTTGTGTCCACTGGTGGTGGTGGTTTGGGTACAAAACCCGGTTGTCTCACACTAAATAGCACTGAGCACAAGTAGGTGTTGTGCACCCAATTATGTGTAGTAGTACTGTAACTGAAACTATTCCAATGTGATATAAGTCTCAAGCATTTTAAGATGCCTTGGAATTTCTAATGTCAGATTTAAGTTAAAGCTTAAATGCAAGATCCTTTTCTAATGAGATGGGGCTGTTACACTTGTATAGGGTGGAAAATGGATGGCATAAGTGGTGGACAAAACCTTGATGCAGTAAGGAAAAAGGAGGGTCTCCAGCCAGTTGGAGAAACTTGCAAACTGCCTAGGAACCTTCATAGTAATGTGTGGGTGTGCAAGTCAGCCAAATCAAACTAAATTAAATGTTGGAATATAAAGTTGTTGAAGCTGGATTACTGAATTAAATAAAGCGTATTTTTAAAAAGTATTCAAACCAATTTACATAGTAGACCACAGGGGAAATGCTAGCTGGTTATATTTGTGCTTAGTAGCTGTTGACAAAGCTTGGTATCAAAAGTATGTTGAATGAGTTAAAAATAGTGTACTGTCAACCTAGCTGGTTCTCATAACCACTTAAAAAAAAAAAGTCTTAATTTGACCTGAGGTGCATATAAAGAACAATTAAAATAATATTTTAAACTTTTTGGATAATGAAACTTGTCTTGCCTGTTCTTGCATGAGGAAAGAAGAGGCAATGCAGTGCTATAGCTGAATCCATTTAAGAGAGACCCTATAAATGACCTTGTGCAGGCATCTGAGCATGGTGGAAAAAAGGCCTGTCACTGCTGCTGCTTTCTGGAGCTGAGATTAACCTTCCTTTACTCCCTGAAATAACTGTTAGAGCTCTGAGACATCTTTTAATAAACTGCTCAATTTTGAGATCTTAAAATATGCCTATGTACTTCATGTGCTATAAGGGTGCAATACTGAAGAAGTAGGGCCTGTGGCAGCAGAGTGAACTTATGTGCAAGCCTGTTAAACTGTTGTTCTGTTTAAATTCTTTTGCAACCTGTGGACCAGCAAACTTGGTTAGAGCTGAATTTGTGGCCTGCTATGTGAAAGCAAAATGGTTTGGCTTATACTGTTGTTCAGTGCCATTTAATTCATAGCTGCTGTGAATGCTACTCTGAGTAGGAAGTGAATGTTAATTGTGTATATCTACATGGCACAGCTGGGGATTACTGTTGTGATTACAGCCTGGGTATCACCATTCCAGCTCATTCAGTACTCTGCAGCTAACAAACCTAAAGAGGAATTGAGGTCCTATATCATAGGATGGAGTTTTACTAGTATATGAGGTGGCTGAAAAGTATGTTGGAGTAGTGTTATGTATAAATAAACTATCAGTCTTCAAAAAAAAAATTAAGCTTTAACAGGAGTACCCAGTATATTGGCACTTTGACTAGTACAATTCCAAAGTGATCAGTGCCTTCACATTGGTTTTATTTGCAATGGTTTAATAGGTCCTAAAACAAATTCTAGGTTTTTTTCAACTCCATTTTTTTAGTCAGTTCTCTGGATATATGTTGAAATAGTTTTTGATGAATGTATAAGTAGTATTGAAGTTAGGTTTCAGAAAAGTTATGTCAAATTAGAACTTAAACTTATCAGTGCTGTGTAAAACTAAGCTGAATGTTGCTTGAACCACTGGTGTTAAGTGATCTCAGCATGTGGAAGTTTGATGTGAGCTGGCCTAACAGATTCCTAAACTCAATCTGCTACCAGCTTGTAATAACTTCCAGAAGCAGCATCTAACTGTAGGCTAGAAAGAAAACTTGGTTTAAAACCATCTTAAGGATGTCAAGCACCTGTTCCTTTTCAAAGTGTCTCTCTTATAAAGGTATAAAACCTGAAATACTTTAACTTGATACTTTTTCAGTATGCTCTGTATTACACTTAAATATTCTAGTTTTGAACACCTAAATACCAGAAAAATAGAAAATCAATATGAGGTAGTATCACTATGCCTAATTCTGGCTGGTGTATTTTAATATATGCAGGAAATAGAAAATAACTTCTACAAAACTGAGTCTCAATGTTTCAATCCTGGCTTAAAGCTCTAATATCATATATGAACCCTGTATGCTTGTTCTTCTAGTTGATGTAAAGAATGACCATAGAATTGGTTGCAAAAAACCTTTTAAGATCATCAAGTCCAACCATACCAATATCATGCTGATAGCAGCATAATACAGAGTATGAGCCAGGGAAGGAGAGAAGACTTGTAGAAGCATACAGAAGATTGTATTGTCTTTGCAACTACAAGTGAAACACTGCAGTCTCTTCTGCTTCCATGCTCTTGAGGCTGTTTTTACTTGTGTTTATTGTACTAGTCTAACTTATGTAGCTAGTAGACAGTCTTAATAGCCTCAGACACTGCCAGACTTGCCCTGGGTAGGTGTCTTAAAGGTGAAAGGCTTCTGTTATCTATTTGCAAACATACAGAACTAGTTTGGTGTAGTGTACTTGCGTCTTAATACGCAGGGAGGAGGAAGAAGGTAATAGAAGCATTAATCAGTTTGACCCATAATGAATTTACTATGACAGCAAATGTTTTAAGATTAAGTAATCTTGTAAGTGAGGGCTAGTATATATTTGCTGAGATTTAACTTTATTCAACTGTATGTTTTGTTCTGTACTTTAATTCCTCTTTATTATTGGAAACTATCCAGCAATATAAATTGTGTAGTGACTAGATAAAGGTAGTGCTTGTGCTTTGGAAATTCTAATTAAGATACAGTAATACAAAGGTATATTCCTCTAGCTCTAGAATGAAGTAAAACTTCTCACAGTTCAATGAGTAGCTGTTGTGTGGGCCACATAGGAATTAGAAACCGAGCCCTCTGAAGTTAATGATGTGCTGCATGTACATGGATTAAGCTTTGTGAAGCTCAATAAACCCTGCAGGCTTCTTCCCTGTGCATGCTACTGGAATTTCTGCAAATGCTAGTGATTAGTTTCAGATAACTGTTGAAGAGGAAATGCAAGGATGTATTTTGGCTTGTCCTAAAACTGGACAGAGCATTTAATCAATTTGTTTTGAATTTAGTGTGAGAATTAAATGTCATGACAGATACCTTTCTGCCATGTAGTCTTCTAATGACTTTATACAAATACTTTACTGATAGTGTATTGAAATGGTAACCTCCTGTTAGAAAACCATAAGGAGTTAAAGCCTTTCATGTGTCTGTGTTTCAGTGTTTGGGCCACTCTGAAATAACACAACTACTTAATAACTTCAGATTAGCCTCCCTGTAGCTGCATAAACAAAATAATAGTGAAGCTTTAAAGAATAACTAAAAATTATGGTTATAATACTTACAGCAAGCCTGCCTCTTGTGCAGGCTGCTTTCAAAAGACCTGTTTGACTATCTAGGCAGTCTAATGTTATTGTCACTTCGTAAATAACAGGGCTTCTGCTATTTAAGGAGTTGACTGTCATGATTTTTCTGATACCTTAGATCTGCCTAATCTTTGATAAAATGTTTCCTTCTTAAAGTGAAGTAGGAACCAGTTGTGATTAATTGTTAAGGGGCCACTTGAAACAGTCAAGGAGTAATAAGGCCCTGCAGAAGTTACTTAGGTTTTCATGTGGGAGCACTGGTATATTTCTCATACGAAGCTTTGAAAAGTTTAATGTAATATTTTCTGTAGGAGCTGGTGCATTGAGAGCATCTGGCTTGTTAGTGAAAGCGTTTTGATCTAATACAGAGTAACCTGCTTGCAGTATATCTCGTAGGTACAGTTTCTTCAGAATGTCTGGAAATGCCATCCTAATAACATCTGTACTTAGGAAGTATGTTTTAAACCTTGAGTGATGCAGCTTTGATTAAGCTTGTTCTGGCTTTCAACTTAAATATGTAGGTTTCCTTAGATGGATGTGCCTGATTTGTGCACTAAATACAGACATCTTGCTGTTGTCTGTACATCTGACTATAAGTAACAGGATAAAGTGTATTACTTTGACTCAACTAGTAGTGGCAACAGTAAGCTGACTTTTTTTGACAAAGTAAAAGCTTGATTCATGAAATACCAATAACAGCACACAATTCCTTGGCCCAATGTCTGGCACCTATAGGTTGCTCTGGAAGTGTATTGGATAAGGCAGCTTGTTTTGCTTCCAGTATTAGATGTAACATGTTTTTTTTTTAATTAGGTGCCTAAACCTGTACAGCCAGCTGCAGAATTTTGCTCTACTTCAACTCTTCCAAAAGATCCAGTATTAAGAAGGGAAAAACTTCAGGATCTGATGACTCAGATACAAGGGACTTACAACTTCATGCAAGTATGTTTTTCTCTGCTGTTGTAGCACAGATCTCTAATTCCTACTGAGGGACAACAGTGCTGACAATGCATGTTTGCACTGAATAAATTAATCTATTTCTAATTACATAGCAGCAGCTTGTCAAATAAGTGTTTAATTTGTATCTAGAGTTTTTTTTCTCTCAAGCCATGTTTTTGGTTTTGTTTTGGTTTTGGTTTTTTTTTTCAAAAGGAGTCCGTTCTGGAGTTTGATAAAGCTTCACCAAGTGCCATTGGTTCATCCCAACCACCTTCAGTTACTCCAGCAAGTAGTCCTGTAGGTAGGTAATACCATATGTGTAAATTATATGTAAGATTTTGTAGACACTAATGGGATTTGCTTGGGCTGCAGATCCATAGGCCTGGTGAAGACAGCTTGTCCAATTATAAAGGATACCAATATCTGATTTAAAAGAAGAAAACAAACAACCAGGCAGCTCTGAGCCATTTACCCTGCTTATTTGTTGCTGGAGGTGACTTCAGCTGGTGCATCTTCCTGGAAATGGATGCTTGTATAATCACTTACTGGCATGTGCACCTGAACCCAGTTGCAGAATTGACATGTTGTATCTTTAACAAACTTGTCTAGATGTGGTGTTGATAGAGACAACCTGTGAATGAGCTCAGGATAAAGAGCAGTTATCCAGCTACACTTAGAAAATGGGAACTTCCTACAATGGGCTGTGTTAAGAAATTGCTTGGGTGGCTATTGGGCTGTAAAACACAATTAGTTTATTAAATATTTAATTGCTTGTTTTAATTCTATAAAGTGGGTACGTCTGTTGTGGTAGAAATATTTTTATCATTGAATACGTGTCTTTTATAAAAAAGAAACTGAAGTTTCCAGTTGGGTGTAGTTTACTGATGCTAAGTCTAAATATTTGCAGTGCATGCACTAAAAATAGTGTGTATCTTCATACACCAAATATTTTGAAAAAAACTGCAAACTGAAAGTGTATATAGTGTTTGAATTTAGAACTAAATTTTGCTTTATGCATTTTTTTTATAGCTTCAAAAGAGCAGAAACTGCCAAGTCAGAGTGATTTTCTTCAAAAGCCCCTTCAAGTAAGTTGAACCTAGGATTGCCCTGAAGAGGCAGAGGAATGATAGAGGTTTTTACTAGAATAGGCTTAGTACTTCAATTGTTCTTCCTGTTGTCAGTAGTTCTGTAACAAATTTCCTGTAACTTAGTAGCTTGCAAGTCTAAGATAACTCAAATGCTGACAAAGTTGGCTGCTCTTCTGCTTGAAGAGCAGCAACAAATGTCTGAAATTTCTTGGAATAAAACAGTATGTTGAAGACATACAGAAATAGCTGGAATATTTAACCCATGGACTCAAGTCATAGCGAGTAGTTGTGTGCAGGAGAATGTGCTGCCTCTTTCCTAAATAGTGCATGTCTTCATATTTGAGATTCTTATTTATGCCAAGGATACAGTGTCTCAAGCTTTGGCAGCCATGGTTAAGTGAACCATAAATTCACTCACTGTGCCTGCATACCTTGCTACTTAGGCTTTTAAGTAGGTTTCCGTGCCACTAACAAGAATTCCTAAGAAACTTAGGCTAACTGGCTAAAGCACTTCAGCTTCTGCCTTATTCCGAAGTTTGCTTGGAAATGCCCAGAGTGTGAGTTTCAGTAAAACCAAACATTTAAGAGTATCTTTCAAAACCTTATCTGTTTTCTCTTCTTGCAAGGCTGCTGCTCCATCCATGACACTGCATGGTTCAAATACTTCCCTAGCATCTGCTGATCAGACTCTTTCTGGCTCTGAAATTGATGACCTGGTGACACCACAGGCACCGCAGGTAACATACCCTGGGGTTCACTGACATTTGAAGATCCATGTGGTAGCTGGCCCTAACAGAAAGCTGTGGTGGGGCTTCTCCTGAATACCTGAACAACACACAGGGACACAATGCAAGTAACAGCAATAGTATCGCCTATATTCTGGCATACTTAAAAGATGGTTGGAAAAGTTGTCCTAATGCTGCATGAAAGCAAAGTGAGCAGTCTGCCCCTTGAAATGGGAAGGGTGTGGGATGAAAAATGCAGGCTAGAAAGCGTTGTGCATATTCTTGTGGGAACATATGAGCAGCATAAATAATTGCTTTGGTTACAGTGTAAAGTACTCCCTCTAATGACAACAAAGAGGTTGCATAAACTGGGATGATAGTCATGAAATAGCAGACTTCTGTGTAAGCTGAAGACTGAGATGTGCTCTCTCAAGCACTATGTGCAGTTAAATCTTCAACTAACATTCAGATCTTGTTAGAGCTGAAAATAGTATTTAAATTTATGCAGATCACTGTCTTAAAGATCTCTTGCTAAGTGTTGCCGTGTTCAGAAACGCAGCCGACTTTCCTGTTGGACACACTAATATAGTGTATGTAGATTATAATGGGGAAATAATCATGCTTTTTAGATGTTTAGGGGTTTTTTTGCTTAATGTACCTGTTATCAGTATACTGTGCATGTAGCAGTTACGCTATTACTTAATATACTACATAGCTGTATATTAATCTTTCTGCCTCTTGAATCAGCAATTTTTGCCTGCTTCTTGACACAACCTCTCACTTCTACAGTGTCATAAGCCTTCTTGTGCTGACAAGGATTAAATAATTTTGCTGTTTAGTATGCATCCAGAAGACTTGTGCTGTGCTATCCTGTGGTACATGTTATTTGGTAGAATGTTCTGAGGCTTTTGCAGACTTACTGTTTGGAATTAGGGCTGCTTGTGCCCAGCATACCTCTAGTCCATTAGGCTTGAAGTGTGGTGTCTTTCTTTTTCAGTCCTGCTTCATATGGAAAGCAATAGATAAGCTTTGTTTATTCCTTGGTTGTGTTGGGATCACACTTCATGGTGACATTGCAGTCTCCTGGTATACAAGTGCAGTTGTCTCTGATGCACCTGTGATAATATACATGGTGAGAAGTGGATTGGTAGTCTTTAGCCCTAGACTGTGTATCTAAGTATAAAAACCTCTTAAGCCTAGTGTTACATGTGTGAGCATAAAACACACAGGTGTGAGTACAGAACACACAGGCTTTGCAAAGGCAAACAAAAATTTGACTTTGAAGCCTTGTTCAATAGCCTGTCAGAAGTTTAACACAAGACATATCTTTCCATTTAATTCAATGACAGGTGTGTGTCACAAACATCATTGTAAATAACTGCTTGAAGCAATCTTCAGTTCTTAAAATTTGACTTCGCAGGGCTAGCTTTACAACCTGTTGTGTAAGAAGGGTAATTTAAGTCTGAGTCTCTAAACCAAAAGCTTCAAGTAATTAGCTTAAGATAACTGTTTTGTACATTTACTTTGTAGTTAATATTTTTCATGGTCTTTCAAAATCCACTTGTTTCAACTTATGCATTAGCATTTCATAGCTTTACCAGAAGTCTATGCTTTCTGCAGTACTTCTTGTTATAGCAGGTGCATGTATGGTTTCTTCTAGGCAACAGCATCACTTTCTCAAGAGACTGAGAAATATACTTCTCAGCCTTTGTATCAGACAAGTTCATGTATTTCTGAGCCACTGATACCTAAAAAGATTGAAATTGCACAGGTGAGCTACCACAAATACAGGTAAGGTAAATATATTGGATGCCAAAATGTGTCTAGAGCCTTATATTCCTTTTGACTTCTGATCCCTATTAATATTGGTATTCTAAATCATCACTTCATTTTGTCATCTGCACAGATGAGACTGAATGCTGGTTAATACTTTGTCTGGACAACTCAGCTTTGTTTCTAATCTGAAACTTAATCGATTGAGTTGGGAGGGGAAAAAAAAATCAACCTCATAAACTTCCTGAGTTCCTCTGGAAAAGAGAAGTCACTTAATACCAGCCAGAGAATCATATTCCAATATATGTAACAGAAGGCATTCTGTTTCCTTAGTAGTAGGATAAAATAACTAATGTCTCTTTATTGTGGAATTATTACAATGAGTGCTATGTATAGTAGCTCATAGGCACATTTCACTAAATCAGCAGAGACTGCAATAGAAGTACTGTTTGCTGAGAATGCACAGCAAGATTTGAAATTGTAAGCAAAAGCTATTTTGTAGCTCTAATATGTCCAAATGTCATCCTGTAGAAACTGCTGACTTCTGTCAGTCTAGGCTTTAGAACAAATTAACTGCTTCTATTACTGCCTGATAACTATCAAGTGACCTTTCATTACATTTGTTCTTCCCTCAGGCAACTATTCCCCTCCCAAGTGAGCCACAGTCACCATTGCCTACTTCAAGCACCTCCATGCCACCAGTACCACCAGCGCAAACCTTTCAGACTACTCCAGCAAGTACCAGTTCTGTCACAATAACAGCAGCTCCCTTTCAGGCTATGCAGACTGTAAGTATGCAACTTGAGGCCACAGAAGAATAACTGGCAGTGATGCTAATAACCTAGTCCTAATACTGAGGAACTGGCTCCCCTTGATATAGTATAGAACTTGATAGATCACTTTGTTTTAATGTTAAAAACCTAGATTAGAACTCTGCTTCTCTGCCTTCAGAACTTAAAACAGATCATCTAAGAACAGAGATCCTGGTCTGTATAGTCTTGAAATCTAATACTGGTTTATCTTAATAGCCTCAAGGAAATAACAGGGAGAAGTTAGACTTAGAATCAACAGATTTGCAGCTGTGCCCCAAGGTAAAGGTGACTACTGAAACTGTTATGCATACATTCCAAATAATAGATTGCAGAGGAGAGAGGGAATCCTGAAGTACATAGCTGTTAAGACTAAAAGCTTTCTGAAGCTTGAACCTGTCTTGCTGCTTTTCAGACTGTTTGCTATAGTGGGGTAAAACTCAGTCCACTGGAATCGTGGAAAATATGTCTTTGATAAAGATTGATGTATCTCATTAACAAGTAGTCAATATAAATGTCTAGGGAATAGTCTACACAGACTGAGTGGTATTTTTTGCAAATAGAAACTATTTTTTCAGGTCATACATCATTACTAATGTTCTCTAACATTGATTGTCTAGTAATCTGCAGTGTGAGCTTAGAGGGACTCAGAGGAAGGCTCTCCATTTAGTTAATGTTCCCTTCCCTCTACTAGGGCTTATCTACTTCTCTGATATCTTCTTCAGAAGATGCTAGAAACCTTCACTTAATGTTCTTGCTCAAAAGCAAGCTTAGAAAGAGGTCATTGAGATTCCTCAAGGCATTCTTCATTTTAACATATGTACTAGTACAGTTCCACAACTTGCTGGACAATCTGCATCTTGCAATATCAAGGCATAGTAGGATTTGGTGGAAGAAGGTAGCTAATGGCCTTTCAAAGCACAGAAATTAGTGACTAAAACATCTGACATCCTGGTTTGGTCTGTAGTAAATCACTACTGTGACTTTTTCTCCATGGTTTTCTTCATTTATAGAAGAGGTTCAAGTAGAATGTTCCTCAGAGGTACAGAATTTTTATATACATTATAAGGCAAGTGGTGATAGGGAAGTTTTTTCTAAGCGAGATCTATTTAAATTCTGCTGAGTGGTGATTTTTCATGGAGGTAGACAAATAGCAGAATGCAATGATCAAGGAATTCGGAATCTTTCTGGGGGCCCAGTTTATAAGATAAGAGATCTGTCATGAGATAAATATGGAGTCTTGGTCTCAGTCATTCTGATTATATCTGAATCCAGCATCTGTGTTCAGAGTGCTTTTGATCAAAATGGTATCACTGAAAGTTCACTTGAGTCAATGCTGTGGTGTTTTCAAATGTGTCAGAAGTTCAACATTTCTCTTGGGACTTTTGGATCAAACTGGCAAACATCTGTCAATAAATTGCTAGGATGTTAGTTCCTCTTATCATGGGTGGCAGTCTTTAACTTTGTGGTGCAGGGTTTTCTTTGCTACATGGCTTAGATTCTTACTGCTGCCAGGAAAGCACAGCCATTGGATTTCAGTAGAGAGCCAGGAGTCAGATGGCTTCTTGCCAAGTAGTGGGAGTACAGTGACAGCAATGTAAACCTCTGACTACGTGTCCTCAGATGTCTGAACACACCATGGCTGCCATTGTGCTTATGGAAGCTTAAAGGCAGATCCTACCTGTAGCCCAAGTAGTCTTACTAGAATTCCAGCTGTAACCCTCACTGTTAGGAAAAGTATACTACTTACTACAAGTAGTTCAGGATGAAGGTGTTGACAGCCTGACTGCACAGCATCTTAAAATTTCTTTCAGAAAGAGGATTGCTTTGGATCACTTTGATCACTTCATCTGAACCTCAATTTGTTTTATCTTATAAGAGTTAAAGCTTTCTACTCAATACTTCAGTATCATGAAGGAGTTCTGTGCTTGGCACACTGTTAGAGGAAACACTTTGCTTCTTGACCCTGGAAAAAGTGTTAATTTCCCATTGTAATTATAGACACTTCTGCAAATGACAAGAACTGTCAAGCTGTGAAGCTGTTCCTTTCATCTAACTGTCATTAGTCTTGCCCTGGTCTGTCTTCAGACAGTTTATACCTTTGGAAAATGGCTAGATACACCTCTAGACTTAATACTGCTGACAGCTTTTTATATGAAACTTAGATCCTTTTACTCAAAATAGACTTCCTATTTGATCTTGATACTTCACAGCATCAGTTCTGGTAATTCTGGGTTATTGGCTTTAAAGCAATACAGTCACTGGAGTGACTGAACTCTGGTCAGATTTAAGTAATGGTAATATCTGTGTACCACCCTACTGCCCAGGCTGCAACATTAAAACTTGAATTACAAGACTCTTAAGTTACATGTTTATGCTGAGGAAACTTTTATAACAAGAATATGGAAGTTGAGGCTCAATTTTTCAAAGGGGTGAAAGGCTGTCTAATAAGGTATTTATCTTGAGTGGATAGTAAAGTTGTACCAGGTTCCCATATGGACATAAAGACTCAAATTCTTTCCAGATATTAACATCTCATCTTGGTATGGGCTGTCACAGCTTCAAGTCAAAAGCTGTGGGACAGGTAGTCAAGGAGTCAGTTGACTTCCCATAGAAGCAAAATAGCTTTCTGTATGATAGCTGTTCTTTTGATCCAATGTGGTAGGTATCATAAGTCAAGCTATGTTTCTTGGGTAGTAGCTACATAATCAGGAGTAAGTTCTAGAAGCTTACTGAGAAGGAAGAAGATAAGTTGAAATACAATGATCTTGAGACTCTTTAAGAAAGAGCTGGTGTTCTGAACATACAGATTTAAACCACAGCATAGCAGGGCAGCAGTGCTAGGCAGAGACTTTGGCTGGTAGTGTTAAGCATGTGTCTTGAAATACGTTGTAGGTATTTAAAGTGAATGCACCACTGCCTCCACGTAAAGACCAGGATATTAAAGAGGATTCTTCATATTCGGCAGGATATAACCAGACTTTCTCTACAGCAAGTACACAGACTCCACCTCAATGTCAGCTTCAGTCTTCTCATGTTGCAGAACAAACCTCACTTTCACAAGAGTCTCTGCCTTCAGGTGAGAATTGTGCTTGTCTCTATTTCAAGTAAAGTTCTTCAGGTTATAGTATTATTTGCATTCATTAACATGTGCTTTGAGTATATTCAGGTTCTTCTAACTCACTGAAATCCTGAACCTCTATGTAGCACCTGTTAACGTTAGGGTTACATCAACGCTAATCTAGTTGATGGTATGGTATGTAAACTTAATTTCAAAACTGATAGCAGGATGAAAGGCTGCTTCAAGCTAGTTTCTATACTAGTTGTATGGATGGTGTCACCTCCAGGCCTGATAAAGATAATTTCTCACCTACTGGAAAAATCAAGTGATGCTTGTCAGAGTCAAACAAGTGTTTGCTTAGAACTGAAGCAGTGATGAAACACTTCATTTGGAACCATTAATTTGGTTTCTAGTAGAGACATTAGTGTTGTGTGGAGTGCTAGGAGTTGCAGAATGCTAAGTAAGAAAGTAGGGATAAGCTTTCAGTGCTGAGGTGAATTACATGAAGTCACAAGTATTTTGTGCTACTGGTACAAGACTAAAATGTGTCATCTGAGCGCTGTTTAGGATTTAGAATTTTTTTTTTAAGATCAACTTACAGCTCACAGTGAAATTACTGTAAAACACGTGGCTGATCTTGACTGTACTAGTACTTGCCAGAATCTTCACATGGATATTACACCTTACTATATTAGAGATGAGCATTCTAGATGTTACTGACAGGCCATGTCTGCCATTCCCACTTACCATTTTAGGTGTATCTTGTGATGCTGAAGTTCTAGCTTTCTGCAGCAGAGAACCATGTTGTTCCTAAGTAGGCCCTAAATTTGTCATTTGTTTGTTACCTAGGAAGTCTAGTTTTTGAACTAGGAGTCCTTTGTCACAAGCAGGTGCAAGCTGATGACAGCCTACTCTGCAGCAAAAGATAATCCTCCTTTTATTTCTGTTTACTTCGGTTCTGACTTCTTACCAGAGCTGACTTTATTAGCTGGTTGAGTCTGAGTGTCTGACCTAAAGAATGCTAAACTTCCGATTAGTGGAGTCTTGAGCTGCCTTGTTCAATACAAAATTGACTGGTTTGACATTGATACTGTACCAGGTGAATTTGTATAGCTGGCACTAAGAATTTGAGATGAGACTAGCCCCTAAATTTACCTGAAACATGTTCTGGGATGAAAGGAAGCTGACAGCTAGGAATCTGGGCTTACAAGACTATCTAATTGAGTGACTCAGGGTCACTTAAAATTACAGCTTTTCTGCCAGAGGACTCTTCACAGGAATTATAGTAGAAATAGACTGATACTGTGTGAAGTCAGTGAGACACATGAAGATTAAGAGCTCCAAAGAGCACTATAAGTATAGCAGTCAAGAAAGCATATTTAGCTTGAATGCTCTCACCACTGAGACTACAGGTCACTAGCCTTCTATACAGTTTTTTGATGGAACATCATGATTTTATTAATCTTCTGTGGTGGCTCTGTACAGCTCCGGAAAAATTTTAAGCTTTTTAGATTGATATAAAGCATGGTCCTGTGGAAACACATTCATGGTTGCAAGATCTGTATTTAAATCTAACTGCTCAACCACCCTGTGAGCAAAAAGTTTTCTTGAATACTGCTGTACCTGTTGCTTGGGGTTGGACTGCCTAACAACGTGTGGTAGGAATGTCTGTTGAAGAGCCTGAACCCAAATATCTAGCTTTCCATGGCTGTCTTATTGCTATCCCGATAAGACTGAGTTTCTCTCCATAATTTTGAAGGATGTCAACACTGAGGGTGACCTAGTTTATCAGGCAGACCACTGAGGTCCTGCTAGTAGAACAGTGTTGGTTCTAAGTGAAAATTCTTAATTGGGTGTTACTTGATTTTATTCTAGCTTGGTTATTTTCTTGATGCTGCTAGCAAGCTTGTTCTGACCTATGTAACTGAATCTTGAGTGCATTAGAGGCTTTACACTGACAGCCTGGGCTGCCTATAATATGTTTTAATGAGCATTGCACTCTACAGGACACGGGAGGATCCCCACTTATTTGAAGTAAAGGGGCAAAAGAAGAGGATATTCAGAGCAGCTTAATCAGTCTCTGAACTTCGTAATACTGCCTTTTGCTTCTAGGTGTGGTAACTTTTTTCAGTTGTAAAAGCTTTGAATTCATCTGTGACTTCTGTTTTAAACAGTGAATTATCAACCTGATGGAGCTGTTCCTGTTAGCAATGGTAGCCTTGCCTTTTATCCAGCACACACTACTGTTATTCCCAGACCCCCTCAGCCTTACATTAACAGTCGTGGATCTGTCAGAGGATCTGCTAGAGGTGGAAGGTCACTGGGTAATACATATCGCTCCCCTGGTGGGTACAAAGGTATGTCTGCATTTGCTACCACTTTTTAATAAAGTAATCTAATGTAATAACACTCAAAACATGATTTAACACCACATGATGTTAAACTTAGGTTCTAGATGGGAAACGTCTTAAAACAAGACTTTCAAGAACAATGTGCAGAGAATGGGGTCTCCTGTTGTAGAATTTAATAGAGTACATTCTGGCTTTTATATCTAGTCCCTGTACTTTGGGTGTCAGGTGAACTAGCAGAGCAATTTCATAGCCTTTTGAATGATAAAAGTAGAACCTTTCACTGACAAGTGACTAACTGTATAGACATTTGTTTGCTACTTCATTTACCATTCTGAACTTTTTACCCCCTTTGTTCTTTCTCTTGACATCTGTCTTGCTAACATTCTGTGCCAGTATTCTCTTCAGATGTCACTTACAGTATTTGCCTGAAACAAGATACTTTGTTTAGCACTGCTGGCTTTAATATTACCAGCAGAAACTGGGATGGGGGAGAGGTTTCCAGTGAGCAGAGAGCCCTTCTGGATTAATAAACTGAAGAGTTTTAAGAGAAGGATTGTTTGGTGTCTGCAAATCAGTTGCTATTCTTCTGCTAGCTGAAGTACTGTAGGAAGTTTGATCTGACTTTAAGCAGATCCTAACTTAAGGTTGTTGGTAGTTGTGACTTACGCCCCTTTGAAGGGCCAGGACACTCAGTCTGTGATAGTCGTTTCCACTAGTGGGCTGAGACTGCTGAATACCTTATAGGAATATGTACTAGACAGTGAGTTGTACAGTTCTAACTGGTACTAAATTGCTTGCAGCTTCTCTTTGGTAGTTAGCCTAATAACTTAAGAAGCTAAATATTATAGTAGTACCTAAATGTATAGCAGTAGTAGCTAAGCATCTGTAGTAGCAAAAGAAAGTATTTCTTAATTCTATGTTAAATCCTGTTTCTGGATCTACCAAGTTTTTCATGTGTCCTGTGAAGTGCCATTAGTATTGAACAGGCAAATGTTAAGGTTAAACACGTAATTTTGATACACCCACAGTGGGTAGTTCTGAATTGCTAATGAAATGCATTCATTGTAGTAGTGAGACTCTACTCCAGATTCTAAATTAAAGAGTAGATATGTAATTGCATAACTTAATACACATAATTGCCAAAAGGGAGCTCTAGTTGTATTCTGGACTTGTGCTGTAAATGAAACAATGAATGATACTGAATGATCAACCTTATTTGGACAGGCTTTGATACTTACAGAGGCGCACCTTCAATAGCTAATGGCAACTATGGTCAGCTGCAGTTCCCTGGTAGAGATTATGCTGGAATGCCATATACTCAGAGGGTAAGTGTTGACTTTGAGTAGCCTTCTGAGCACTGTACAGGAACTAAGTTTTCTAATACTGTGTAGTTTTTCATTATCTTAACAGGTGAACTATTCATTACAACCTAGAGGTTAGTTTGGTTTTCTAGACAAAACCCTTTTTTTGGAACAGTAAACAACAGTTGAAAAAGGGAGTCAGTTCAGACAGGAAGCACTTCTGTTTGAAAGGCTGATTTTAGTCTGAAGGGAATTTCTGAAATGCTAACAGGTGTAGAAATAAGGTGTGGTATAAGTCTATGTTGTTACAGATTTTCAAGTTGGTACTCCATGCCTCTGTAGTATAAAATAATAAACTAAATGAACTGACTGAGAAAGTGGTTAGCCAAAAAAAAATTAATCTAAAAAACAACAGGTAAGAAAGCAAAGGGTATTAGAGGGAAGAGAGTTTACAGCTTTGAAATTAAATATATTCTTCTGTACAGACTCATGAACTTCTTAAATCTCAGGTTTGTCAGGTATTGTTCAATGAACTGAGCTGGGTATATAGTTCAGAAGCTAACTTGCTAGAACTGGCATCAAAATACTCTAACTTCATACAGGCTATTGTAAAAGTAAATTTTCCATCTATCAGGCTGTTTATATACAACTGAATTCTGAACTCATCACTTTGTCATTGTCTATTCTAGAGCTTCAGTCAGTTGTGCAAATGAAAAAATGTTATATTTGTTAGCCTCACTTGTTTTCAGATTTGCTTATGGCCATCTGCCTAATACTTCTGTTCTCTCTTAGGATGTTAATTACCAGCACTGCTATAAACGAGGTGGGATAACTGGTCCTCGAGCAAATTCAAGAGGTAAGGCTAGTATCAGGTTCCCAGTGGTACGTATCTGTGCTGGACTTACAGTGCTATAGGTGGAAAGTGAGGTGAATAGTAACTCTAGGTTGCTACTTTGAAGAAAAAATGGGAATTATGGCACATCATGGAAACTATTTCAGAGTAAAGCAGGTCATATCTCTGTCTGAGGGGAGGACTCTGAGTATACTTCAGAAGAGAATTAAAAGGAATAAGATTGTGGGGAGCTGACAGTTGACAGACATACTTAGTAGTATTAAGATATCATGGCAACTTTAGTTTTATTTGGTATCTTAAGGTATTCCTTTCCAGTGGAAATAACAGTAGCTTGGAACTTGTGTAAACGCTTTAAATTTTTCAGATCAATTGTTTTCATTCTACATGCTCTTAACTTTGATATTAGAAAAGATAAACAGCTTCATTTTGGGGAGTGGGGTGCAGAAAGTTTAGAAGCAATTCTAGTTCTTCAGACTTACCAACTTATGATGCTAGAATATTTTATGACCTAAGAATGCAGCTTCAAAAGAACAGTAGTGAGGTATCTTGAAGTGCAAATTCAGATCTTGAAGGTAACTAAATGGCTACTTGGCTTTTGGTAATTTTGTTATTTTTTTTTTAGAAATTGTTTTGCCTCCACTTGGAAGTTAGTATAGACTTCTATTTTATGCTGATATGTGTCAAATACTAAAGCTAACCCTATTGCAAGATATTTTCCTCTCCTACTGAAAAGTATGAAAAATAATTGTTAAATCATGGCACATCATCTCACTTACATTCAGGAAGAATGTAAACCAGTGTTAAAGTTCTGTTCTTACTGGTGTCCTTTGACAACTTGCTTTAGCTGAAAGACAAATCTGTTGCAAAGCCCATACACTTGCTGCTTTAAGATTATGTCTACAGGTTTAATGGTATCCTTCTGTTACAGTACTTATTTACCTTGGCTAATGCTCTTTCACAGCAGGGTGGAGTGATTCCTCTCAGGTGAGCAGTCCAGAACGAGACAATGAAACCTTTAACAGTGGAGACTCTGGGCAGGGAGACTCCCGCAGCATCACCCCTGTGGATGTGCCAGTGACAAGCCAAGCTGCCACCATACTACCAGTGCACGTCTACCCGCTCCCGCAGCAGATGAGAGTTGCCTTCTCTGCCGCTAGAACATCTAACTTGGCCCCTGGAACTCTAGACCAGCCAATTGTGTTTGATCTGTTGCTGAACAACCTTGGAGAGACTTTTGATATCCAGCTTGGTAGGTTCAACTGTCCAGTGAATGGTACATATGTCTTCATCTTCCACATGCTGAAACTGGCTGTGAATGTTCCCCTGTATGTGAATCTCATGAAGAATGAAGAGGTCCTAGTGTCAGCATATGCAAACGATGGGGCTCCTGATCATGAAACAGCCAGTAATCATGCAGTCCTGCAGCTGTTCCAGGGAGATCAGATCTGGTTGCGTCTGCATCGGGGAGCCATCTATGGAAGTAGCTGGAAATACTCCACTTTTTCGGGATACCTCCTTTATCAGGACTAAAGTCCAGTGTGATGTTTACAAAAGAGCTGCTCCAAACACCTTGGTGGAGGGGGGTGGGAATAGCTTTGCACTTACTACTGACTTTATAGAAGATACATGGTTCCATTATTGGGGGAAATGATGGTCCTGTTGCGCAAGGTGAAATCATGGAGTTGGGGTACTGAATCAGCACTAATTTGGCACTTTATCAGTTGTGATGTAGCCTTGCTAGTAAAGCTGTGAATGTATATTGTTTGCACTTACCCTAAACTGTATTAATGTCCAGCTTACTACACTATTGATTGCCTCAAGTATGGGCTATTCACAATGCCTTGTTGTGCCTCAATAAAACAAGTTAATATGCATTTTAGTATTAATCTTGCCAGTGGTCTTTATTTTTTAAGATACATCAGGAATAAGCTGTTTGATACAGGGTGTACATGCATATTATTATATAGAACTGGTTTTCAAGTTTCAATAATTCAGAGTAAACAGTATAGTTTAAATGGCATTACTTGTTTGTTTAGTTCTTGCTAAATGCTCTTCTCAGGAGTGTTCCCTTGTTCAAACTGAAGTCATGATTTAGTTGCACACCTGCTTTTTTTAACCAAAAGGTCAAGAAATTACAAGTGACATGCTACATACTTCAGTAGGACCACTTATTTTAAATGCATATCCTGTCAAAATCTAGCTTTGTCACATCACCTGTCTACCTTCAGTAGTGATGTAGTTGAAGTTACTAGATCTCAAAACAGTCACTGAAGGGCTGTATGGCTTCTTTCCCCCACAAGAGTTGAATTGGCTTGTAATGTAAGCTCTCTTCCTTTCAGAGAGCCACTGAGGAACTTGGTATTTGTAGTTGAAGCCTGCTGCTTGCATTTTAAATTAAACCTGAATATAAATACTAGGAAGCACTTATGAAATTCCTTTCTTACAGCTAATGGGCTGTGACCAGTCTTCAGCAGTCTCTCGCGGCCTCAGAACTGAAGAGCCAGCATCTATGTCCTTGTCTAAGCTGCAGCATGGCAAATACCATAAAGCATTTCAATGTTTAAATGGGAGTATGAACTAGTAAGAATACTGTAGGTCTGGCTCTTTCTACTTTTAAAAACTTCAATAGCTTGTATTTTAGCAGAGTGTACTAAGGCAGTTAGTGCAAAAGCCTAGGTGGTATATCTAAGAATGAACTAGAACTATGTGAAGTAAAAGGAGTTCAGCCTTCTGCTTATATAAATGAAAGTAAAAAACCTAAATGGAATAAACTTCAGACTCGATATAAAGCTGCTGTTCCTTGGTAAATGGTTTCACAACTTCAACCTTAAATGGTTCTCCCCTGCTGCTGTGCAGATGCCAAAACAAGTTGTCTGGCATGACTTCATAAAGTTACTGGCATAAAGATTTTGGGTTTATGCCAAGCTTAGATTTCTCTTCCTTGTAGATTTTGAGAGAGTGATCATACTTCAAGTCTTGGTTTAATTCCTTTGGCAAGTCCTGAGATGAGAAGTTGAGGTAGGACAAAGCTTTAGTGAACCTAGTTTTTTCCACAGCAGGCAACACTGTCAAGCCTTAACTGTGGGATACTAAGCGTGTATCTTGTATTTTAAAACATGCTAATTCTGACTTTAGCCAATAAAGAGGCTTATTGCTAGAACATCCTCCATAGAGGATAAGTGGCAGGGGTTTAACCAGCACTTTTTCCTTAGACTGTTAACTCTCTTTGTATGTTAATATGGGAATACAGTAGATAAGCCTAAGTGCTAGGATACTTTTCAGCTTGCAGTAGCTTTAAACCCAGCCTCTGGTAACCTCAGATGTGATTACTGAGAATACACAGAGTATGTTGCCTTTTAATGCTCCAGTTCAATTGAGTCTGGACAACTGCTTGGACCCATGTTACCATTTGTTGGAGACTAATATTATTTCTTACTGGCAGATCTAGCAAACATTTAATGTCGCTTTAGCTTGCATCTGTTAAAGATATCTGAGGTGAACATCTCGATTTCAGAGCAGGTTGTCCATCTGTGTAAGATGGATTTTTAAATTCTTCAGTGCACACTGTCACAGCCAGAAGTGTGCAGATATGATAAAACATGACATCTGTTTGTTATACCATTCCTCAATAATAAACTTGTCCATAAATCATATAACAGATGGCTTTGAAAAACATACTATTTTTATAGGCTTAATACGCTTTATAGCTTGAATTGGAATAATCTCTACAGTACCAGCTACTTCAAAATAAAATGCCTGCATTTTCCCCCCCGGTATTTTTTTAAAAGACAGATATACAACTTGAACATTTCTCTTCCTATAGAATAACTGAAAATATTATCAATTTTCTCCTATGGGTTTCATACATAGTACCTTCTTAGCTATAACTACTGGTTTACCCTGTGTTTGTAGTCAGAGCTGTGAATGCAGCTCTGTTACAAGAAGAAGTACAATTGAGCAGGTAATGTCAAAGTTTTCAGTGTAGATGTGACTCAAAAGGCTAGTACTGAACCTTAAATGCTTAAAATACTGTAAAAAGCCAAACATTTTTCCATACCAATAGCTGACCAAAACCCACTGGTAGAAAATTGCTATTCTAATCTTCAAAATACAATCTGATCTTCAACATGACTTCATATGATTTCCTGCATCTAGAACACTATGCTTCTAGATTAACACTTACTTTTTTGAAAGCTGCTTAAAGTACTTCAGAGTATTTCAGTGCATTATTTAGTGATGCAGTTTTAGTCTACCTCAGTACATCCGGACTAAAGGCCTATATCTGTATTCTGCTTCTGGGCGAAGCATTGAACAGGCAAGTTTCACAACTTGAAAATAGTTGGGGTAAGGCTGGGATAGACTTCATGTAAATACTGTCTGCCAATACTTTTTTCCTCAATAGCTGTTAAATGAAGTTGCTTGACTTGTTGCACTAGGTAATATGCCTTAACTGTATAAGGATGTTAATCAGGTCTAATTAAAACACACAAAGGGGTGTTGTAATTCTGCTAACTTCCTATTGCTGTCTTTGCTATGCAAATTGGATACCACCTAAATTCTCTCCAGTTTTGTTATCTTGTGCAGCCTGCTGAAGATAAAAGGTTAAAGAACACTAAGCTATTATCTGGAGTGAGTGAATTTCCATGTAGTCATCTCTGAGTTCAGTGAAATACTGAAACTACCCTGAAATGGGAGAGTAGACTTGTTTTGGCTAGGATAGAGTTCATTTTCTTCAGAGTAGCTGGCATAGTGCTGTGTTTTGGATTTGTGACCAAAACACATTGATAACACAGAGGTGCTTTAGCTATTGCTGAGCAGTGCTTACACAGTGTCAAGGCCTTTTCTGCTCCTCCTGCTGCCCCAGCTGGCAGCAGGCTGGGGGGGGGCACAAGAAGCTGGGAGGGCACACGGCTGGGACCACTGACCCCAACAGACCAAAGGGATACCCCAGACCATATGATGCTGTGCTCAGCAATACAAATTAGGAGGAGGAGGAGGAAGAAGGCACATCTGAGTTCTGGTCTTTGTCTTCCCAAGTTAAGCACAACGGAGCCCTGCTTTCCTGGGAAGAGCTGAACATCTACCTGCCGAGGGGAAGTAGTGAATTAATTCCTTATTTTGCTTTGCTTGAGTGCACAGCTTTTCCTTTATGTGGTAAACTTTCCTTATCTCAACCCAGGAGTTTTCTCACTTTTGCCCACTGGGAGGGAGGGAAGGAGCAGCTGGGTGGTGCTGAGCTGCCTACTTGTGGGGTTCAACCATGACAAAGGGCTTCTTAAAGTTTTCAAAATCCTAGTGGACTTGTGACATTTGTGTTTTTTCCAGGTTATAGAAGTGAGAGGAGACCATGAACGATCTACCAGACTTGTCATGGCTGACTTCCTGCAGCCAAGGAAACCTCTGTCCTGCAGGCTGCAGTGGTGGCACGGAGAATGTCCCTGTTCTCCTGCACTCAGCTTAGGTACCTTGTCCTCCCTGACTGCTGTGAGTTATCTACAGCTGCTCCAACAAAACACTCAGTGGGGGAGATGGCTTTGGAATTTTTACTCCGATTGAAGTCTTGTTTCTGGAGGTCTGGCATACGTTTGTCTGCTGCAGATCATCCTTGCTAGCTCTTTATCAAATCTGTATGTGTCTTTTGAGAAAAACAAGTTTGAGAGTCTTTTTGGAGGATATGAAAAGCCTGTTGCGTGTTCTAATTGGAGATGTACTGTACCATAACCAGATAAAAATGAGTTAACTCTACTTATGCACTTGTTCACAAGTCTCTGACCAAGTTAATTTTGTGTCTTGTCTCCTGACTATAAACAATTCTATTAAGAATGAAAAAGCTTATAGATTGGTATCTGCTGACTGAACATTTCTAGGTGGTGTACTTGAAGAAAAAAATACTGTGAAGTGCTAATGTGACTGGAGAGTACTAGTGCATCCTGCTTTTGGACTGTTTGGGTCTTAGATGAGTAAAGGTGGTGGCTGATATGGAAGGAAGGCTTTATGCTTAGTACAGATCCAGTCACTTTGTCATAAGTTTACTATCAGGAAGTAAAATCTATATTAAAAACAGATTACTTTCAGCTTGTAGCTCATCACACAAAGGATCATTGTCATAATCTTATTATGTCTTATAAACTACAACTTAAGCCAGATGCTGTCCTATAGGAACTTGGTTGGCGTGATTACGGAGCAGCTGTTCTATGCCAGCAGAAAGCACAGTTACATGGAGCATTCAGCTGAAAGGCTACCTGCATTTCAAAACAACCAGAAGTCAACGAAGTAATTCTAAGTCATCTGCAGTATGTAAGGGTTTTGTAGTTGTTCTCCACCTCCCAAAGTTCTTGAACTTAATCAAGTTATCTTGATAGCAACTCTGTCAGGAACTTGATCTGATTTTCATTGAGGTCCATTAAAGCATTCCATTGCTTTAAAAATCCTTGGTTTCAGCAACTGAGTTTCAAAATATGATTACTTGTTTTAAATACTTCATAAAACTGTTGTTACAGTGTACCTAGGGAGTTTTGGAGCTTCAGAAAAAATATCTTTGCTTTCCCTTATTTCCCCACCTCCCTTTTATTCACATCCTTTTTTTCTGTGCTTGCATGCTGGCGCAACTTGGATTTCATTTACCTGTTTTTAGTTTCTTTATCTGTCACTTATCCCTTTCACATGGGTCTTCTCTCACCAGCAGTGTTAGCTGACAAGAAAACCTCGGAATTTTACCTCAGATTCTTTATTTTTGCAGAGTAGCAAAACAGATTTAAAAAAAAATACAAAATAAAACCATTCAGATGCAGTTCCAGATCCATTATTTTGAAGTAGATGAAGCCCAAAATATTTACAGAATCTTTGCTTTAAAAAAGAAGCATAGGAATTCTTGCTTATT